CTCTGTTCTCTCTCTCGCCCTTTCTGCACCTCTCGCTCTCTCTCTCTCGGCATGCCCTTTCTCTCTCGCTTTCTCTCTCTCTCTCTCTCTCTCTCTCATTCTTTCTATCTCTGCTCTGTCTCTCTCTTTTCTCTCTCTCTCTCTCTCTGCTCTGTCTCTCTCTCTTTTCTCTCTCTCTCTCTCTCTCTCTCTCTCTCTCTCTCTCTCTCTCTCTCTCTCTCTCTCTCTCTCTCTCTCTCTCTCTCTCTCTGCTCTGTCTCTCTCTCTCTCTCTCTCTCTTTCTCTCACTGCCTCTCTCGCTGCTTGCTCGCTCCCCCCGTTTTCTCTTCCTCTGTCCCTAACCACCTTCCCACTCTCTTTATCTCTCTCACGCTCTACCACTCTCTCTATCAACGCCATCGTTCCAGTGACGAATTTGCGAAAGTTAAGGCGTTTGCAGTGAGGGCAGCTTTGAAAGAAGAGAATTACGAAGAAGATAATTTTAAAAGAAAGTACGATAAGAGTGTAATTAATACATTTATTCGCCGTCACTCGACTAATGCGACGTGCCGTTTCGACATCCCTCTGGGTTAATTTGGTGAATTTCCAATTCGGCTATTCGCATCGTGATGCGCCTACGTAATATCACCTGCTTCGCCTGTGAAATCATGGATCGCGTGCAAGCAGGGCTTCTCTTTCCCCGCTGTGAAGCCGTATGCACTGACGTAACTCCTCCTCCTCCCACTCCACCTCCGCCTCCGCTGCCTCCTCCCACTCCTGCTCCGCCCCTCCGCCTCCTCCTCCTCCTCCTCCTCCTCTTCCTTTATGACACTATAGACACTGATGTAATATTTCCTCCCGTGAGAGACAATATACGCGGAGACAATACGTCATCAACCTCGCTAATGAAGCCGACGGACAGCACTGACGTATTCCTTCTTCCTCCTCACTTATAAAACCATTCATACTGATGTAACCCCCCCCCCTGCGCCGTCTCTTCTTCCTCTGCTTCCATCTCCTTCCTTATGAAGTTATACACACTGATGTACTCCTCCTCCCCTTGCACATTAAACCATTCATACTGATGTGTCTCGTCTTCCTTTTTCCTGAGCTTCCTCGTGAATCCATACACACTTATACGTTACTTCTTCCTCTCTTCGTCCTACTCTTGCTCCTCCACCTCCTCCTCCTCCTCCTCCTCCTCCCCCTCCTGCTCCTCCTCCACCTCCTCCTCCTTCTCCACCTCCTCTTATACATTTTCCCTCATGAAGCAGCACACACTGATTTATACGTACACCTCTCTAATAAAGACTCATGGATTTCATACTCTTAGAACTGCCATCCTACAATCAGACAAACGTTCGAATGAATGCGCACATTTATACACGCACACGCACGCACATGTACACGCACGCGCACACGCACAGGCACGTATATTACATCCGATCAGCAAACAGGGCTGTTGACAGAATAATCATGACGATGGAATTAATGAGCTGTAGGCTGATCCACAAGGCTTCCTACGCAGCCACGCCATTTTATTATTTATTGTACGCCTTGCACAGGATGCCTTGCACAGACATAGACAAGTAATAGCGGTCAAGGTCTCAATAGAGTAAAAGAATCCATATACATGCTGATATGGCTTCATACATTTGCAATCAGTGAAAAAATACACGGGGGCTCGGGGCGAATTTAAGCCCCCGAGAATGCCAAAAAGAGCCCCGCGGAAATCCAAAAGAGCCCGCCGTAATTTGCATAGAGTTCAACGCAAACCAAATTTTAGAGTGCTATTTTCATGCACGCGAGCTTGAAAAGTAGCCCCCGAAAAATAAATAATATTTTTTTCCCTGTTTGCAATGAATGACATATATTACATGCAATGAAACCTCAGGGGTTTCGAATATATGTCGATTGCTGCTACACAGAGTAGGTACACTGTGAGATGCAGAGTGAGGCAGGCATTACGCATATATGTACGTATTGTGTCTGTGAGCATATATATATGTGAAATACAGCAATGTAAATTAGACATGAAAACGCTTCAATAAACAACACTGCTTATACTCTCTATAGCTTTTGCTCTCCCTCGCTGCTTCTCTCTCGGTCTCACTCAGTGCATTTGTCTCTCTCGCCTTCCTGTGTCTGTGTCTGCCTGTCTTTTTTCCTGTCACTAACTCTTTTCACCTTTGTCTCATTCCTTCTCTGTTTGTGCTTATATCGCAGTCCCTGTCCCTGTCTGTCTTCCTCTCGTTCAGACTGTTTCTCTCGCTCTCTCTCCCTCTCTCTCCCTCTCTCACCCTCTCGCCTTTCCTATCTCTCTCTCTCTCTCTATCGCTGTCCGTCACCCCCCTCTCATTCAATGTACATAGCAGTCCCTGTCTCTCTCATCATATGTGCGACACCTACCTTTTTAGCTTGCTGTTCGGCTTCGTACAGCTTTACGCTCTGCCCCCGAGCAGGAGGAGGCAACTATGCCGTTCGCACACTAGCTTCCGAATGTCGACGAGCCACGATCGTTCGCTGCTATTGACGAGATTTTATTGACGGCCTGCTTGCGCCGCCTTAGTACCTACCACACAACAGGAAAATTGATCAGCACAGCATGCGACACGTGGCGCCATCTGTTGTGCAATATATAAAGCTATGCAGTGGCCAGTGCATCTCCGATTGCAAATCAGACAGGATGAGAAAATTGAGAACCGACATGACAACATGACAGTCAAGATTAAAAACGCATATATATATACAATATATATATATATATAAATTCCTCAGATAATGCATTGTGACCGTGAACGGTAACTTTAGCAATGAATACATGCATTATTCCTGCATCATGTTGCAATATCCTACATTACCACAGTCTAGCCACCATGCGCTCGCATGCACGCACGCACACGCCTGGACACGCACAGCTTTACACACCAGTAAATGATGGTGATCATTAGTGACAGCATTTAATGGTCACACTGCATTATGCAAACGTCCCAAATAGACACACTTTCTCCTACCATTAACTGATACGAGCAGGCGTGCAACTGACGTAATCAATCTCTCATAAATAATACACAAGAATATACGGCGAATCCGATGTGGAATCATGCGCCGCGGGAACATGCACTCTGCCTCAATCAATACTGTTCTATGACGTTGGTTCTCGCCACTGTCTGCGTGACTACATCTGTGCATCATGATGCAGATGCTGCATGAACATATTTGCATATATAACCAATGCCAGACAACGAGAATAACGGGCCCGTTTAAAACTAAAAGCCGACAGCATCCATCGCATACACCCAGCCAGGAGTGAATATTACAATAATAGATTATTATAGATCTATTCAGGGATGAGATTGGATAATTTAATTTTCAGCTGAAATTTTAATTAGCAAACAGAGGAGCGAGCAATGCGAGAACCGTAGGTCATCGCCATGCTAGGGGGGTCCGGGAGCATGCTCCCCCGGAATTTTTTTAAAAGAATGGTCAATTTGGTGCATTCTAAGCTATTCTGAACACATTATAGCCTTATAGGAGACTCTTGAATCACCTTTTCAAGTTGTCAAAAGGAACAAACGAACTATAATAGGAAATCAAGAGGCTGAAAATAGGGCAATTTTTTTATTAAAATGATCTTTTTCTGTTTCCACCCGTCGCTTGCATTGTTTTACTCAGACATAAGCTGCCTTGCTGCGACGAGATTTGAATGAAAAAAACACAATGCGAATGGAACAATCAGTGCATAGTCATGCACACAACAACATGCACACAGCAACATGTAAACCCGGCCCCCAGGCCAGGCATGGATTTAGACGTTTCAAAAAATCGACGGATTTCCGCGGATCCGCGGAAGAATCTCATCCCTGTCTATTTAACATTATTCACTCCTGGCCGAGCTTCATCAGCAAAAAATGAAGCATATGCGATAATATTTCTGGACAATTTGAAAAGTACACACACACACACACACACACACACACACACACACACACGCACGCACGCACGCACGCACGCACGCACGCACGCACGCA